TACAAGGGAGCGCCCATATGACTGTCAGCTGATTTCTCCAACAGTCCAGAAGGGAACGGCAAGAAATATTCAAAGTGATGAAAAGCAAGGACTTACAACCAAGATCACTCTACTCAGCAAAGCTACCATTTAGAATTGAAGGTCAAATAAAAAGCTTCACAGATAAGAAAAAGCTAAAGGAGTTCATCATCACCAAACTTTAATATTTACATGAAATATTAAAAGGTCTTCTTTAAGAAGAAGGAAAAAAAAGATGAAAAGGCAATGAATATATATTTATCAACAACTGAATCAAAATAAACAAACAAGGAATGTATCAAACAAAATAAACTGATAAATAAAACAGAGCCAGAGGCATAAAAACATGGTATACCAGTGGTTCTCAACCTTCTGGCCCTTTAAATACAGTTCCTCATGTTGTGACGCAACCATAAAATTATTTTCATTGCTACTTCATAACTGTAATGTTGCTACTGTTATGAATCGTAATGTAAATATCTGATATGCAGGATTGTTAGGCGACCCCTGTGAAAGGGTCGTTCGACCGCCAAAGGGGTTGTGACCCACAGGTTGAGAACTGCTGGTAGAGACTAATGATCTTAGAGAGAAGGGGAAGGGGTATGAGAAGGGATTAACCACTCTTGCCATATTTTGGGATAAAGAACTCTTATGCATACATACATTACCCATGGACACAGACAATAAATAGGGTGGTGAACACCTGGAGTGGGGCAGAATCTGGGTGGAGGGGGGAAACATGGGATGGGGAGAGAGGGGGGACATCTGTAATATTTTCAACAATAGAGAGTTTAAAAAGCCCACCAATTACAGTCCAATATGCATCATGAGCCTATAAATAAAAATGCTTAGGAAAACAAATCCAGCAACATAAAGAAAATAATATACTACAAGCAAATGAGTCTTACCGTGAGAACGGAAGGTTATTCAATATTAAAAAAATAATAAATCAAGGTTATATTAACAGACAAAAAAATATTACATGGTCATATAAAATGATACAGCAAAAACATTTGACATAATTCAACACCATTCATGATTCAACAACTCTCAGTAAAGCATTAAGGTAAAAGAATTTCTTCAACCTGATAAAAGGAATTTTCAAAACCCCACAGCTAGTCTCATTTTTAATAGTGACTGTGTTCTCTCACCACTCCTAATCAACATGGTACAGGAAGTCCCAGCTAGTGCAATAAGGCAAGAAAAAAGAAAAAGAAGTTTGAAGAGGAAGAAAAAACACTGTCTCTATTCACAGATAATGTGAATGTCTATGTAGAAAATTCTAAGCAATTTACCAAAACAGTCCATAAAAGTAGTGAGTTTAGTAGGTCACAGAATAGAGGATCAACATATAAAAGTCAATCCTATTTCTATAAACTAGCACTGAAAAAATTAGAAACAACATTTTAAAAAAATACCACTCACAATAGCACCAAAAAAGAAATACTAGACATTAACTCTAACAAAACATGTAAAGAATCTTTATGCTGAAAGTATAAAATGCTGATGAAAGAAATCAAAGACCTAAATAAATGAAGAAGCACACCATATCTATGGATTATAACATTCCATACAGTTAAGGTGTAAATTCTCACCAAACTGACTTATTATTTCAATGCAACTCCAACAAAAATTCCAGCAGGGTTTCTCATAGATACAGATGAGATTATTCTAAAATTTATATGAAAATAAAAGAAACGAGAACAGAAAGAACATAGTTGGAAGACTCATACTACCGAAATTTAAGACTTACTATAAAGCTACAGTGTAGTATTGGTGAAGAAATAAACACATAAAGCAATAAACAAACAAACAAACAAACACATAAAGCAATGGGACAGAACAGAGTCCAGAAATAGACCTAACTAATATGGCCAAAACAGAGGCAATTAATTCAATGTAGTAAAAATAGTCCTTTCAATTAATTACATTGGAACAATCAGGTATCCACACGTAAAAATAAAACAAAAGACTTGATCTAGCCTTCACACCTTACACAATAATCACATATCTAAATGTAAAGTATAAAATACAGTCATACTTTCCTAAGAAAACATAGGAAAAAAATCTTCATGACCTTTGGTTAGGCAAAAAGAGCTCCTAGATATGACACCAAAAGCAAAATATATAAAAGAGAGGTAGATAAAGTGGACTTAATCAAAAGGTTCTTTTGCTTTGTGAAAGACAATGTTAAATGAATGAAACGTCAAGTTATAAACTAGGAGAAAGCATTTGCAAATCAAGGTATTATATCCAGTACATATAGAGATCGCTCAAAATTCAATAATAATAAAACAAGCAATACAACAAAATATGGCAAAGATCTGAATAACTCACCAAAGAGGATAGATAGATGGCAAATATGTACATGATTCAATATCATTCATTAGCCATTAGAGAAATGCACAGGAAAAGCAAAATGAGATATCACTACACATCTGTTAGAATGGCTTTAAAAAATCTAAATAAACAAAAAGCCAATTATACCAAGTGCTGACAAGGAAACAAGAAATACACTACCATATATTGCTGATAGGAATGCAAAATGGTACAGCCATTCTACAAAACAGTCTGGCAGTTTCTTAGATAATCAAATACACACTTATCACATAATCCAGCACCCCTATGAAGAATCTGCCCTACAGAAATAAAACTTTGTTCACACAAAAGCCTATAAACAAATGTTTATAACAGCTTATTCATAATCATCAACAACTGGAATAACATACAAGTAAAGAGATAGTACAGCCATACAGTGGAATACTACTTAGCAACAGAAAGCAATGAACTATTGATATAAGCAACATGGATGACCTTCAGTGGGTAAAAGAAACCAGGCTCAAAAGCTATGTAATATAGCCTGGCTGGTGAGGCTCAGTGGTTGGAGGGTCATGGGTGTAATTCCTGGTTAAGGGCATGTACCTGGGATGCAGGTTTGATCCCTGGTCCCAGTGGGGGCATGTGTGGGAGGCAACCAACCGATGTCTCTCACATAAATGTCTCTCTCTCTCTCTTTCTCTCTCCCCCGCTCCTACTTTCTCTAAAAATCAATGGAAAAAATATCCTCACATGAGAATTAACAAACAAAAAAGCTACATACTATACAAATTCACTTATATGGCACCCTGGAAAAGGCAAAACTAGAGATATGGACAGTGGAAGGTTTCAAGTGTCGGGATACAGAGGATTTGACTACAAAGGTCTTCCTGCTTGTGGTGACAGTTACAGGAACTATGCAGGTGTCAAAATTCATACAAGTATACATCAAAAGTCAATTTACTGCACATAAATTTTAAAAATAATGAAAAAGGAGAAAACAAATACTTTAAAAATAACCCCACTACTATTTCTAATTTTTATTAAAATTAAGTACAACCCAATGACAGTTTTAAAAAATAATACAGTATATTTTAATGTAAGAAACGGATGTTGGACTTCCATTTGCAGAAATAGGTCAGATTAGGTGTTCAAAGAAACTCCCATAATGCTTTTTAAAAAGTGTGCCAGAGCTTGTGGTAAAGGACGGGAAACGAGAGGCAGAAGCAAGTATAGCAGCTCCTCTGTCTGAGCCCTTTGGGGCTGGTAATCTTCTAGATTCAGAACCAGGGTGTGGGGGCATTTACAGAGGTAATGTACTGTATTTATATATACCGTTACCATAATCCCAGCAGCATGTGGGACAATACCTCAGAATAAAACACATTCATATTTCTGCAATAAGTTCATAACAGTTCAGGTCAAGTTTTGTTCAGTTTAAAAATAACTTGTGGCAGTCAACACTTTCTGTATTTCTGAATTGCAGGTAAGGAATTGTGGACCTGTAGAAGTTAGTGGCAAATCTAGATGGGTAAAAGTGCAAGACCTGGAGGGCATTCCCCTGAGAAAAGCCACCAATTTCAAGAGACTTAAAGCTTGCACTTTCAAAGACAGTTGCTCTAGGACCCAAAAAGGGTAGAAGATTAAACCAAAACAATGCCTAGGCAGTACCCGGGAAATCTGTACCTTACCTAGAATTTTGCTGTGAACATTAAACTGCTCTAAAAAAATAAGCAAATGAGAAAAAAAAACAGAAAGAAAATCACCTAGCCCAGTGGTCGGCAAACTCATTCGTCAACAGAGCCAAATATCAACAGTACAACGATTGAAATTTCTTTTGAGAGCCAAATTTCTTAAACTTAAACTATATAGGTAGGTACATTGTTATTAACTTAATTAGAATACTCCTAAGGCTTAGGAAGAGCCACACTCAAGGGGCCAAAGAGTCGCATGTGGCTCGCGAGCCGCAGTTTGCCGACCACGGACCTAGCCCTTTTGAGAAACAAAGAACATGTAGGATAAAAAACACAAAGGCTGCCTAATTAGATTTCCAGAAGGTGATAATGGAAAAATAAGAGTGTGTAATTTCCAAATAGAGAATAAAAAAAAGAAAGGTTGCCGCTGTGAAATGCCTGGGCTATAATGCTAGCTTCCCACTTACTATAAAACCTAGAGCAAGTTACATGTAACCTTTCTAAGCCATGGTTTTCTCATGCAAAACAGAATAATAAAGCCTACCTCACGAGGTGTCCTGACTACTAAATGAGAACACAATAACTGTCACTTACTACCAATTAAAATATAAATTTATTTGCAAAGTACAGTAAAAGTGTAATAAAATTAAGACAGACAGGATGGACTAAGCCTATCTGGACAATGCTTTGATTTAAAAAATCTATGGAAGGATAAGTAGGATGGTACTTGACCTTTCTTCATTTGTTAATTCTGCTAACATTCTTCTTCGAGAACCCAATCACTATATCTATCCCTGTTCCTTTTTTACACACTGATCCTACTCCAGGACACTCTCCAAATCTTTCCAAATTTAAAAGTAAATATGGGAGAAAAAATAAGTCTGATCCTTTTATTCTCCACCTCAAGTTTCACTTTGTACACTGATTTTTTTAAAAAAAGGAAAAAGAGAAAGATGGAAATCACACACTTACTTTTCATTAGTTTTCCTGATAATTCCTTTAGTGGAGAAGAAAGACTATTTCTACTGGCTACTGTAAGTCTAGGGGAGGATTCCTGGGTTTCCATGGAAACTTGATGAGCTTCTCTTCTGGCCATTTCAAGATGGAGAGAATGGGCACTGTCACATTCCTCGGAAAGGAGCAAACGATTCTGGGTGTTGCTAGTCCTATTATTCAGGTCACTTTCTTCTGATTGACTCACAAGCAATTGGGCTGAGCTAGAATCCTCTAATCTCTTGTCAAGAGACTCGGTTACAAAAGGTGCTGCAGTTTCTTGCTTTTTAGATGGAGAGACAGGCTCAGCCAATGAGCTCTGCTTCACTGTGCTCAGACTGTATGCTCTTATTCGGGACCAAGTTGTAGAGTGAAAACTTTCAGCTTCTAACCAAAATTTAACCAAATGCTCCATTCTCCGAAGTTCCATGAATTGAATGAAATAAGGGAGGACAATAGTGTCATGCAAGACTTGTTCAAGAGTTTTTGAAAGACTTGATTTGGCCTCTTGAATCTGGTAGTCCAGACAAGACCTGCCTAAAAAAAGCAAAAGAATTAGCAGTTCAGTAATAAAGAGTTTAAGACTGACCTATTAGGCAACTTTAGCATTAAAGTCCTTAAATAAAGTTTACTTCCTAGCTATTTAAATGGATAAATAACTAGAAATACTATGGTTTTGGTTTCTAAACAAGCAAAGAAACTACTGTCCAAAACTTACTTAAATTATTAAAAAGCTCTTTGTTACTCAAATAATCCTCATCTTTTTAAATGGAAATTCAGACTGCTATTGGTGAAAGTGGGGTATCCCCTTTCCCAGTGTATACTAGGAAGTCGGGTTTTTACAATATCTCAAGAAAAAGAATTATTGCCCTAGCTGGTTTGGCTCAATGGATAGAGCGTTGTTGGCCTGTGGACTAAGGGTCCCGGGTTCGATTCCGGTCAAAGGCACATGCTCAGGTTGTGGCTCGATCCCCAGTAGGAGGTGTGCAGGAGACAGCCTATCAATGATTCTCTCTCATCCTTGATGTTTCTTTCTCTCTCTTCCTTTCCTTTCCTCTCTGAAATAAATAAAAATATATTTTTTTTAAAAAAAGAATTATCTGAGACTCGCACAGGAGAATGAATGATTTTTATTTGTGTGGAATTATCTCTGGATTTCCAAAGTCCCATTTCCCTTAATCCAATCCTGGAAGATGTGCAGCTGGGGATTCAGCAGAGCTGGGAGCAAAGTCAGCATCCAAAGCTCCCATTCCACGGGGTGCTGAGTCGTTTAGCATCAGGCTAGTTGCAGTCCATTAGTCCATTGTGTGTGGTCCACATAGCCGTGAGCCATGTGGGTGAGTGAGGGGAGTCAAGAGAGCATGCTCTGCAACAAGAGTTCCAAGAGTCCCCAAAACACAAGCCAGCAAGAGCGCAGAGAGCAAACTCCTTTATTAGGAGATTAAATATCTTAAGTCTTCTTGAGCTTGCAGTGGCTTCGCTTACTCTTGCCAATGACCTCTTCCCAGGTTTGACTGACTGACAAGTACCTTCCCTATGTCACCCAGACTTTACTGGGTATGCGTCTATTCTTCCTCCGTCTAGTCCAGGGGTGGGCAAACTTTTTGACTCGAGGGCCACAATGGGTTCTTAAACTGGACCGGAGGGCCGGAACAAAAGCATGGATGGAGTGTTTGTGTGAACTAATATAAATTCAAAGTAAACATCATTACATAAAAGGGTACGGTCTTTTTTTTTTTTTTTTTTTTAGTTTTATTCATTTCAAACGGGCCGTAGTTTGCACATGGCTGGTCTAGTCCCTTCCCCTAGAGATCTGTGGCAAAGCATACAAATGGCGTGCCTAAACTATTTGGCCTCCCCACTGCTCCTTTCCAGTTATTAGTAACTATGTTTACTACAACGATTAAGACCATGTAAATTCTTTTCTTAAAATCTTATGGCCTGGCCGGTGTGGTTCAGTGGTTGAGCATCGACCTATGAACCGGGAGGTCACGGTTCGATTCCCTGTCAGGGCACAAGCCCGGATTGCGGGCTTGGTCCCCAGTGTGAGGCATGCAGGAGGCAGCCAATGAATGATTCTCTCTCATCATTGATGTTTCTATTTCTCTTTCCCACTTCCTTCCTACCTAAAATAAAAAATATATATATTAAAAAAAAAATCTTATGGTACTAGTCCCAAAGAAAGAAAAAAAGCTAATAATTTTTAAAAAATAAATATTCAACCTCATTAAAAATTCCAGAAAAGCAAATTAATACAAGATAACCTTTTTAGCTTGTCAAACTGGAAGATATTTTTTCAAAATATAATAGTCCGGCTGGTGTGGCTCAATAGTTAAGCATCGACCTATGAATCAGTAGGTCTCGGCTCGATTCCCGCCTGATTCAGGTTGCGGGTTCAATCCCTAGTGGGGGGAATGCAGGAGGCTGCTGATCAGTGATTATCTCTCATCATCAATGTCTCTCTCTCCCTCTCTGAAAGCAATAAAAAAAAATTGAGAAAAAAAAATAACAAGCACTAGCAATGCACAATGGAACAGGAAGCACTCTCACCACTGATAATGAGAGGTTTTTTGAGGAGCATTCAGTAACAGATAACAAACCTTAAGCAATCTGCATGATTTTCAATTCAAAAACTTCACTTCTAGGAACTTTTCCTGGGGAACAATTGTGGTTGTGTGGATATAGCTAGAAAAGTGTTATGAACTCTCAATATTATTCAAAACAGAATAACGAGTAGCTCTGGAATTTTATCTTAAAAAATAAAACCAAACTTAATAAAAACAAGTTTATTTTACATTTAACTAAATTTAAGTTGTGATTACAACCACCGCAATTAAAAAACAAAAAATCAAATCTTAGTGTGTTTTTTAAAATTTTCGCAGGATGACATAAAGAGGTTTATTTTCATAAAATTAACTGATGGTTACGTCAATTTTTCAAAAGGGCTTTTCTTAATCCTTTGCTATTCAAATAATTTTCCTTTGAAGCATTTTACACGTCATCAACCTTACTATCTTATTGTCAATGTTAGCTACTCCATCTTTGTAGACATCCATTTCATGAACTTCAAGAAATCCTGATCCCCTGCAAGACTTACAATTTTTCTTAATTAAACTTTTAATTCTGATATAGTAGATTCATGTGCAGTTGTAAGAAATCTCCTGCATATTTTTTTTTTTTGCATGTGCAGAGGGTGGGGAGAGAAAGGAGTTATTTACACAACAGGGATCCTATTATACATACTGCTATGTAAGCTGCTTTTTCACTTTAACATATCAGACATTTCTCCATGTCTTTTTCAGACTTTAAATGGCTACACAGTATTCCAGAGTATGGGTATACCAAAATTTAACTATTTCTCTATCAGTGGGTATTTATATCTTGTTCCTAATTCTTTCCTATCACAAACAATACTGCAATGAATAGCCTTATTTATATACATATTTATGTATACACCTTTGTGCATACATGTGAGCATACCGAGGACTAAATTGTATACATTTTGATAAAAACTTCCAAATTATCTTTTAAAAAATCTTCACCAATTTGCACTTCCACTAAAAAGAAGTGGCTCTTTTTTGCACCTACATTAACAAACTGTCAAACTTTAAATATTTATTTACTTAAAAAAATTCACCTACTTTATTTTTTAAATATTTATTGATTTTTTACAGAGAGGAGGGGAGAGGAATAGAGAGTTAGAAACATCGATCAGCTGCCTCCTGCACACTCCTCACTGGGAATGTGCCCGCAACCAAGGTACATGCCCTTGACCAGAATCGAACCCGGGACCCTTGAGTCTGCAGGCTGATGCTCTATTCACTGAGCCAAACCGGTCAGAGCAAATTTACCTATTTTAATTTGCATTTCCCTGAGTATCAGTGAAATGAGGCATCTTTTTCACACAGTCAAGCCAAATGTATTTCTTCTTCTGGACATGGCCAATTTTTCTATTGGGTGTCCTTTATATTGTGTATTTATAGGAACAAAACACAGTGCTTCCATTACACTTACAGCTGTTATTTTAATTTGTATACATTTTTTAATGATACAGTTCAGTATCCTTTGGCAGGAATTTCACATGCTATACTGAACTCCTTCCTCCTATGTAAGTTAACAAAAAGTGATTGTCACTTACCCAAGTCACCAAAATGAGCGGCCTCCATGTGGCTTGGCTGCTTCTTAAGTGTTGCCGTCCTGCTACTTGAAAAGGAGTCCATGTTGGCAGAAATGGCATTGATTGCAATATGACTTGGTCCTGCAGCCTCCAGCAAGGCATGATTTTTAGTGCTTTTTTGTGGGGAATATACAGGATTTGAGGCTATAATTTTTCAAAAAAATTATTAAAAATTAAAATTTGATAGTTTCTTAAAATTATCTTAAAGGTTCTATTAAAGCCCTCTGTTTTCTCAAAAGAGGGCTTTGAGAGAACTTTAAAAATTAAGATTTTTGCCCACCGGCATGGCTCAGTGGTTGACCATCCCAGTTCGATTCCCAGGTTGCAGGCTTAATCCCCAGTATACGCCCTAATGAGAATCAAGCCCACAACTCGGGCATGTGCCCTGACCAAGAATCGAACCATGACCTACTGGTTGATGGGTTGACATTCAACCACTGAACAACACTGGCTGGGCAACACCACTTATTTTATTGAGCAGTCAACAGACAGGTGCTCTCTATCTTAGTAAATAGCTCCCAGACACAGAATCTGAGTAATACTTGGTAATAGTTCTTATGAAAGACAAAATACATAGTACTGTAATTTAATCTATTACTCCTTGAGACCTGTTTATAGAATAAAGCAGATAAAAACATGAATGTCCATACCTGTTTCCAGGTATCTATATTTATCAATTATTCAACAAGAGTTGGGAGAATTATGCAATGAAGCTGTCTTTAAATTATTTTTTTAATTATGTCAGGAATGCTAAGCACAGATTATATACAGTCATAAATAGAATACAAGCATGGAACTTTTTTTAGCCTAGTACAGATGTAGAAGTTAGGTAGGCCAACCCTCTTAACCTATAAATGAAGAATCTGAAGGAAGTTACATGACTTCCAAAGTTATACTGTTAGTGTACAAGACTGATATGCCTGAGCCATCACGATCCCTCCTTCCTACTACCATCAAATCTAGTCTTCACAAGCCTCTGCTTGCTAAGGGCTTTTAGCCTCTATCAATGCCAATCAAATTGGAGGGCAGTATGAACTAATGTGGAATTCAAATGGCTTTAAATCAGTGGTTCTCAACCTTCCCAATGCCGAGACCCTTTATTACAGTTCCTTATGTTGTGGTGACCCCCAATTTCATTGTTACAAATTGAACATAATTAAAGCATAGTGATTAATCACAAAAACAATATGTAATTATATATGTGTTTTCCGATGGTCTTAGGTGACCCCTGTGAAAGGGTCGTTCGACCTCCACGACCCACAGGTTGAGAACCGCTGCTTTAAATGATCAGAAATAAGCAGGAAACCATCTTACAAATCTCTTAAGTTATAAATAGTCTCTGGCAAACTGAACATACAGAGTTAATACTCAATGCCAGTCACACAACATATAAACATTTGAAAGAAAAATCTAAATAAGTAGCAACCCACAGATTTCATATAAATAACTTCTATTTATAAAATTAATATGTAATGGCTATGAAATAATTTCCATTATAATTTTCCCATTATAATCTTTGTACATTGAAAGAATGAAATCAGTCAAAACTACAGCAGAGAGTATAAACTAAGAATGTCTTATAAATAGGGCTAATACACTGATTCAAATAAAGTTCTCAGAATAAATTTAAGGCCATTCATCCAAAGTAATGAAGTGAAAACTGTTACCATCCACACTGGTGGACAAACAGAAAACCAAGCCTGGCAAGTGGCAGTGCTTTCACTCACCTAGCTGTCAGTTAAGAGTATTTTTCGATTTTTGCTGTTTTAAAATAAAATCAACTAATCACTTTTAGGGAACAATCAAATGTGTGATTAACAAGGAAGGCACTGATTCACTGTAATCACTAGAACAGCCAACAGATGCTTAGTGAAAACCTATTAATTATATGCTAGGTGTTGGGTAATATAAAAGTTAAACAGGGAAATAAGTCAATTACAAATAATTCTAAAAAAGGGAAGAAATGATGAATGGCAAATGAAGGGAGAGGATAACAGGATTGAAGAGCTCATAAATGCAAAGCACATCCCTTTTTAATACAATGGAATATTGCTGAACTCACCTTTAACTGTCCTGGCATCTGAAGTCTTATCTTGTTCTTTGCCTTTCACTAGAAGAAAAAGAGCTTCATGACCAACCTTTATAGTAAAAAAGATACGTTCTAGACATTGTAAATATTAGATGAGCTTTATTTTAACAGATAAGTATTCAAGTTCTACAGCTTTATTCTAACAGATAAGTATTCAAAATTCTACATGGAGGGACTAACTGCCTGGGGGCAGGGGGCAGGGCATGCATCAGGGGAGATTCTCTAAGGAAGTGACCTCTGGACAGCATTCAGTCAAGGACACCGAGTATGCTATGGAGAGACAATGTCAGAATACCTGTGCCCAAATTCTGACTCTGCTACCTATTGGCCATGTGATCATGGAAAAGTACTTTACTCCCCTGGGTCTCAAGTTCATTGATATCTGAAATTAGGTCAATACTAATCATACCTACCTTAGAGGGTTGTGGATGAAAAAAATACATACTTGGAAAGGGCTTAGAGGAGCAACTACCACACAGTAAATTTAGGGTGTTTGCTGATATTATTACTATGTACAATCCACTCCTAGATGCATGTTGAAGAAAGAGTTCTTTGGTTGTACATCATATCTTATTTATTGTGTATTTCCCCCCACAGCACCAAATACAAACATTCCAAACTTAAAAACACTTTAAACTTCTAATACTCAAGATTTAACAATTTGTTTCTTAAAAAATTATACAATCTCTCCTCTATCATACAAGACAGTAGAAATTCTACTGCAGATACGCTACCAAAATTTCTAAGAAAGGAAGTGCATGGCAGCCTAGGCCAAGTGTGAACTCTTACAGATCTAACATAAGACTATTTTCAACCCTCCTTACTTTTCTTGTGTTTTTCCAACATTAAATTGTCTTTAACCTCATCATGAAAAGCCTAACAAAATAAGTCCCAAATGTACTCATCTCTCTATTTGTGCTCTTAAACATTAAAGGCTACTAGCAGGAAATAACTAGTTCTCATAGTATCTGATAAATCAATCTACAACAAACATTTGAGTGCCCATTATGTACCAAGTACTTCCCTGGCTCGGAAAAGACAGTCCTGCCTTCAAGAAGTCCACATGCAAGTATGTGGAGACAACATGGACAAAAATAAGTTAAGATCATTTCAGGTACTGATCACTGCTGTCAGACTGAGAGAGGTGAAGAAGCTGCAGAAGAAAGTTCGAAGCTAGCCGAGGTTGGTTCATGAGGCTTAAGGAAAGAAGGCATCTCCATAACAGAAGTGCAAGGTGAAGCAGCCAGTGCTGATGTAGAAGCGGCAAGTTACCCAGAAGATCTAGCTCAGATGATTAATGAAGGTGGCTACACTAAACAACATATTTCACTGTAGACAAAACAGCCTTATATTGGAAGAAGATGCCATCTAGGACTTCCATGGCTAGAGAAAAGTCAAAGCCTGGCTTCAAAGGACAGGTTGACTCTCTGGTTAGGGGCTAATGCAGCTAATGACTAAGTTAAAGCCAATGCTCATTTTCCATTCCACAAATCCTAGGGCCCTTAAGAATTATGCTGATCTACTCTGACTGTGCTCTATACATGGAACAACAAAGCCTGGATAATAGCACATCTGTTTATAAGATGTTTTACTATTTTCAACTCACTGTTGAGACCTACTGCTCAGAAGAAAATATTCCTTTCAATATATTTCAGTAAACCCTCAATTTTTTGGACTTCAATTCAACGGACTTCAGACTTAATGGACAAAACTTCTGGTCCATATGTCATATGTGAAAATTAACACCCTGTTAATTTTAAAATGCTTTGAACTAAGATACGCTTATAATTAGACCAACAGGTTATTTTTGTTATTAATTTACTGTTATTTTAAACAAATTTTAGCAAATAGGCCTAATGTTAGAAAAAATACTGTAGTAATTTCACTGCCATAAATAAATAATACATATCTACAAGTATAATATACATATTTAAATCCAAGGTCACCGATCTTAAACACTGTTTGGGAAATGATTAACACATGATCACCACACATTGTGTGGTAATTGGTTCTGTTGTCCCATGTCATGACTTTCTGCAGCCATGACTTTCTGCAGCAGGTTTTTTGTTGTTGTTAAACCTCACCCTAGGATATTTTTTTTCCATTGATTTTTAGAGAGAGTGGGAGGGGGAGAGACAGAGAGAGAAACACATTGATTGGTTGCCTCATGCATATGCCCTGACTGGGCCAGGGACTGAACCTACAACCAAGGTACATGCCCTTGACAGGAAACAAACCTGTTACCCTTCAGTCCAGTCTAACCACTGAACAAACCGGCTAGGCCTCTGCTGCAGTTTTAATGAGTGCTAGCCAAGGTTTGGATGTGTGCTAAGCCACACCTTAGCCATATGCATTTATTTACGCACAGTGACTAGTGAGTGTAATATGTATAGAAAACTTTTCTGTGGAATTAAACTTTTCATACATACTTAATTTAATTACACAAACCTATCTATATAAGTAAAAACAGGTAAACTAATTTGTCAAATTTTTAACATATGCATTCAGAAAACCTACTTTATTATATAACAGACTTTTGGCTTTAATGGACACCCCCTCGCCTGAATTAGTCCATTGCATCAAGATTTTATTGTACTGCTCACTGACAATGCACCTGGCCACCCAAGAGCTCTCATGGAAATGCACAATGAGATTAATGTTGTTTTCGCTGACTGCTAACACAATATTCACCCCATAGACCAAGGAGTAATTTCAACTTTCAAATGTATTTCTTATTAAAAAATATACTTTGTAAGGCTATAGTTGCCAAAGTAAATTGAAAATCTGGAAATAATTTACCATTCTAGATGCCATTAAGAACATTTGTGATTCATGAGAAGAGGTCAACATAGCAACTTAACAGGAGTTTGGAAGAAGGTGAGTCCAGCCCCTCATGGATGACTTTGAGGGGTTCAAGACTTAGAAGTAACTGCACATGTGGTGGAAACGGCAAGAGAACAAAAATTATAAGTGGAGCCTGAAGATGTGACTGAATTGCTGCAATCTTAGGATAGATCCTTAACAGATCGGAGTTGTTTCTTATGAATGAGCAAAGAAAATGGTTTCTTGGGATGGAATCTACTCCTGGTGAAGATGTGAACATTTTTTAAATGACAACAAAGGATTCAGAACATTACATAAACTTTAAATAGTAGTATCACGGTTTGAGAGGACTGATTCCAATTTTGAAAGAAGTTCTATGGGGGTAAAATGCTATCAGACAGCACTGCGCGCTACAGAGAAAGCATTCACGAAAGGAAGAGCCAATCAATGCGGCAAACGTCATTACTGTTGTACAGGCACCACCACGCTGATCAGTTAGTTAGCAGCCACCGTCAGAGGCACGACCCTCCACTAGCTCAGATAATGGGTAGCATTTTTTAGCAATAAAGTATTTTTTAGTTAAGGTATGTACATTGTTTTTTAAACATAGTGCTATTGCTTACACACTTCATAGACCAGTGGTTCTCAACCTTCTGGCCCTTTAAATACAGTTCCTCATGTTGTGACCCTCAACCATAAAATTATTTTCGTTGCTACTTCATAACTGTAATGCTGCTACTGTTATGAATCGTAATGTAAATATCTGAGATGCAGGATGGTCTTAGGCAACCCCTGTGAAAGGGTCGTTCAACCGCCAAAGGGGTCGCGACCCACAGGTTGAGAACCTCTGTCATAGACTATAAAGATAACTTTTATATGCACTGGGAAACCAAAATATTTGTGTGACTCACTTTGATATTTGCTTTACTGCAGTGGTCTGAAACCAAACCTACAATATCTCTGAGGTATGCTTATGTTCTTCTACACATACCTTACACTTGTATTCATATAATTCAACATTTGTCTATAGTGATGCAATTCTAGTTTTCATGTAGCTCTAGTTCATTTTAGCTGCTTAATTCCTTTAAATAAATATGCCTTTATTTACCCATTTTCCTGTTAAGTAACATTTAGATTTTAGTTTCTAATTTCCACAAACACTGATGTGATGAACATTCTATAGAGTACATGTCTTCCTATGTGTATATGTAAGAATTTCTCTAGGATAAATCCCTAGTAATGGCACTGCTAGGTAACATATTATTTGCATTTTCTTTTACAATAGTAGTGATATCAATTTACACTACCTCTGTACTTCATATCCTTGGTACTTTTAATTTTTGCCAACTTAATAGTTCCCAAATGGTATTTGATGGTGTTGTTAATTCATTTCCTTGATTTTCTTTGATGTAACATCCTTTTATGTTCATTGGCTATTCAGGTTTCCTCTTTTATGGACTGCTTATTCATGTTCTTTGTCTTTTATTTGTAGAAATCCTATACATATCCTGAATACGAATCTTTTGTTGCAAATGCCTTAGGTATATTTTATTGTATGTGTTTTTTTTATTTTAACGTCAAATTTACTTATGTGGATTGTATTTTCCTGCCTTATTTTTTAAAATATCCTTTCCTGCCCCAAATCAGATTGTCCTCCCTCTATTTTCTTCTATATGATTTCAAGTTTTGCTTTTTCAAATTCTGGCTCTTATCTACTTGGTATTTATTTCTGTATATCAAGGATTGGCAAACTATAGCACATGGGCCAAATCCATCCCACTACCAGTTTTTTTTTCAAATATATATTTTTGTTGACTTCAGAGAGGGAAAGTGAGAGATAGAAACATCAATGATGAGAATCATTGATTGGCTGCCTCCTGCACGCCCCCTACTGAGGATTGAGCCCTCAACCTAGGCATGTGCCCTTGGCCAGAATTGAACCCAGGACCCTTCAGTCCACAGGCCAACACTCTATCCACTAAGCCAAACCGGCTAGGGTGCCACTACAAGTTTTTTTTTTTTTAAATAATGTTTTATTTTAGCATAGCCATGTCCATTTGTTTATCTATATATACACACTGCCTATGGCTTCAAGGATAGACAGTGAGACAGAGACCATATGGCCTGCAAAGCCTAAAATATTTACTATCTGTCCTTTTACATAAAACGTTTGTTGAACCCTGAATGTATATAATAAG